ACAAACAATAACCAAAAAATAAAATAAAAAACAGAGGCTTGTAGATCTTTCGGAGACCTATGACTCCATGTTTTTTTTCTTTTTTTCTAATCTCATATGTATTTTAAAAAAATGAAAAACATAAAACTGAGAAAAAAAAGCCACAGACACCCCCAACCCCAACACACACACACACACACACACACACACACGCACACACACTCACACATATATATATATATAGAGAGAGAGAGAGAAAGAGAGAGAGAGAGCCACAACCTCCCCCACCCAGGTCCCAACCCCTCCCCCACCTCGGCCACCAAACCCCCAAAACAACCCTTGGACCCCACACAGATGTCCCGAGGGACGTTTACGTCGTTTAGGGGGCTTTGTGACTGTGACAGTATTTTTTTGTTTTTCCCCCCAATCTTTTGTTCTAAATTGTCCCCCTTTTTTGTTTTTAATTAAATAAACGGGCCCAGTACCCAAGGCTGATAGTACCAATGAGAATTTTGAGGCTGGGGTCCTCACAGTTTGTGCCAATTTCTGAGGATATGGTTGTATCTATGGGACGCTGGACCCGGTTTCCAGCAGGTGTTGCTCCCCACCAATAGATGGAGCTTTGTTTTTTGTAAAAAAAAAAAAAAAAGTCTACCCGGAAGGGCCGGAATGAGAGATCAGAACCTGCAGAGAACGGGCGGCCTCAGCGTCCCTTAAGAGCTGTGATGATGCTACTAATAGAAGAAGAAGAAGAAGAAGAAGAAGAAGAAGAAGATTATGATGAGGATGCAATCCAGCTGTCTTCTTTTACGGTTTATAACCTCCTCCCTCACAAAAAAAATTGGGCGGCCCAAGCGGCGAACGAGTAAATTGTCCCATTGCCATTGCCTGCTTTGCTTTTTTTTTTTTTTTTTTTTTTGGTGTTGGTTGACATCCTGCAGGCTTCCATGGTGGCTGTCAAGTTGGATGTGTCGGAACAGCGGCTGTTCCTTCAGGCGCCTGGAGACTATTGCTTGGACGTATCCAATACAACAATTTTTTTTCCTTTTTTGACTATTGATATTGAATTGAATTATCGATAATTTAGTTGGGGCAGATCAGCATCAAGCTGGTATAATTACAATCCTCTCGCTCTAGCTGGGGAAGATCAGCATCAAGCTGAAGGGCGATTACAAGGAAGTCTGATGGTGTATAAAACGGGCGGTGGAGAATGTGAAGACAGATATTAGTTGCCGTCAGACCACAGAGATTGGTGAGGTCCTCAGGCTGGTTTGTTGGATGCTGGCCAACAATTTGCAGATCACCCAGATGGTGTTGCAAGCCCAAACTGTGTTGGGTTATTTGCTGGTCAGTCATGTGGTCTGGGGGTGGCGGAGCACAAATTTGTGGCTTATCCGAACAATGTTGGTCAGCCATTTGCAGATCCCCCATGTGGTCTACACCTTGAGGGGTCAACTGCAATCCAGGAAGATAATGTTCCAATCCCTCAATGTTTATGGCTGCATCCTGAGTAGGGACTGTCCCTGGAGTCGGGAGTGTACTCTGGGCAGGGACCACATCGTGCTGTATAGGTGAGTGGTGAATATATGTAGAGCTGCTTGGTAAACCGTAGGCAGAGAAGGACAAGAGGACAACAAACCAGGGGCTGTGACAAACTGTTTCGTCAGAGTTTCACCAATTCATCAGGAGGTTGAACCCTCGACAGTCTATAGAATCCCCTAACTGATTACACTGTAAGTGATAATCCACCTTAACCCCGGCTGTGGCTAAGCATGAATGACTGCACGAGAACTGATACCTTGAGGTGGGCACCAGCCACTGCCCTCAAGGTACCTGTGACGAAAATCAAAGCGGACTATCACTCACCCACACCAGACAGAACACTCTACAGACTGTCGGCTCACACCCCATCACAAGCAAGCAAAACACCCACGAAACAAAGAAAGGTCTGTCACAGCCAAAAAATACACTCCGGACATGCGGCTGGACGTTTGTTTTTTTTGTTTTGTTTTTTTTGGACATTCGATTTAAATTCATGCAGTTAAAAAGCCATGGTACTACACACCTAGAACTTCTAAGAAGTTTTAATTGCATGAATTTAAATCGAATGTACACAACTTCCTGGATTTAGTAGCAATTTAAATCGAACGTTAAAAAAAGCCAGGAAGTTTTGGACATTCTATTCAGATTTGTACAATTAAAAAGTAATAAAAACATATCTGATGTTTAACTAAATCTTGGTTCTCGGTATAGCACCGACTTTCAGCCGGTCCGATGGCGCTACAACTTGGAGACGTTGGGATGAGGAGTGGCACTACTCGAGGAACGAACACTTCAATCTGAAACTCTTTCTGCTAGGCAAACCAGGGGATTCTTTTACGGGGCATACACGGGCTTTCATGCAATGACCGGTGCGGAAAGAAAAAATAAAATAAACAGCTTTTGCCTCTGGAAAATTAGTGTTTGAATTTTTAAAATTCAAAGACGAAGTAAACAAAAGACAAAAAATATTGTGCAATGTAGATCTCGAAATGATGTACAACATCCTATTTCTTGTTTTTTTTTTTTGAGAATGTTTTGAACCCTGAAACAATTCCTGAAAGTTGTGGCCGCACCCCACCCGCGGCCAGAGGGCGGCGGTCAGGACTCCGGCCGCACGCCGAGTTTGACCCCGCAGCCGCGACCGAGGGTGATACATAGCCTATTGGTTAGGTATCTGCCTGTCAAGCCATAGGTTGTGTGTTCAATTCTTGCATTGGACATACAGAGGAGGAGGGGGGGGAGAGGGGGGATTACCCAGGAAAGTGGATCGCCTTCCAACGCAGCCTGTACAAACGAATGAGCCTAGCTAGTATGCTATGGACCGTGATGGTGATATTGAGAATGACAGTGCACCGTAGAGACAAGGAAAGCGAACCGTTGGCTTGCCCAGACTTGCCCCATGTAAAAGCTGATATAGCAAAAGGGAGCTAACCTTTTTTTTTTTTTTTTTTAAAGAATAGCCCTTGTGTAAGCCCTCTATCCCGGCCGTGGTAAGAGAACCGTCAGAATTGAGGGCTTATCTGTTGGGCTGCTCCATCTATTGGCTTGCCCCCGGCAAAAGCTGAGATTGCGGAAGGCAGCTAGCTTTTGGCTTGCCCCAAGCAAAAGTTGCGATTGCGGAAGCAATGACTCAGAGAGCAAACATAGTCAGCGCAGGGACAAAGGTCAAACCATCAGTAACTTTCTCAGCTATCGATGCCAATCCTAAAACTGCCCTGTTAGGCAAAAAAAAGGAACCGGCGCGGACCTCGTTTTGGCTGCCGCCACAGGCCATTTCGCGCGGTAGTCCTGAGCCTGCGCGCCTCCCATGTTAACAGGCGGGCATTCAAGTTTGTTTTCCAAGTAGGAAAGGTACTGGTGGTTAGCTGTAGAAAATTGGAAAATAGTAAAATAGTAAAATACAGAACAACAGTTAGTGTGGAATCTCAGGCCAGAGCAATGTGTCTTCACTGAGCTACAAGGGGACAACGCCAATGCACTCACTTTTGTCTGTCAAGACTCAAGATCCCGGACAACACAACCACTTTGAATAACAGAAACAGAGAAGAAACTGATGAACGAACAAGTTCTAATGCCAGAAGCCAGAACAACGCTGGCCGGAGCTGGAGCATAGCCCTGTAACCTGTAATTGGCAGGGGTGGGAGGCCTTGTAGAGAGAGCTGGGGTTTGCTGAGGGAGGAAAGCAAGCCAATGGTGAACCAGGAGGGGCTACCTTGACAACCTATGGGGTGGGGTCAGTCTGGGCTATGGCAGTGGGGGGATAGGTTTGCCTTGTTCTAGAGTTGCAATATCCTGGTAAGGGAGGGCTTGGAGTTGTTCAGGATTAGGAGTCCAGTATGGCTGACTCAGCATGTGTAGCTACATTTTTTTGTCGTCACTGGCATCATTAGTATCATCAGCAGTAGAATTTTCTATTCTCAGGTTTTTCTCAGCCGAAGCTGGATAATGGCCCCGGTGTTACAAACTGATGTATGTTCATATGGGACGCTGGGCCCGGTTCCCAGCACGTGCTGCTCCCCACGAATAGACTGGAGCTTCTTTCTGTCAAAAAAAAAAAAAAAAAAAAAAAAAAAAGGCCAGAAAGCCCAGAACAAATAGGGCTCTCATAAGTTAGACCTTGGTCAGTTGGCCATTAGACACTGCCTTGGGCATAGCTCGGAAAAAATAGGGAAACAAATTTCAAAGCCTCAAAGACACAGACGCCTGGAGGAGGGGGACACCCTTGGCCCTTTGGTCTACTCACCGGACTGGTAGTCATAGATTCACGCCTAGGTCCCGAGGTACCCGTGTGATGAGGTTCGTGCGATAATGCCTTAAGGCCCTTAACCGGGGCTGAAAATGGGGTTGCCACCCAGCGTCGGTGCCCACAACTACCCTCTGGTCAGGTTACGGCAGTGAAAACAGTGATGGTCCTCAATTGAGGTAGGATGGAGAAGAGTGGGGGCGTGCCAGGGAATATCGAGAGGTGGAAGGGTGGGGTCAAGTGAGGAGTCAGGCCCAAGAAAAAAGGAAAGCAAAAGAAAAGAAAGGACAGGCCTCAACAGAGACTCCCCACAACCCCACGTGCAGCTGGAAGATTTGTCACAGCAATCCCAACCAAGTGGGGGGACCTATCCCCACAGTCACCTCCACTCCCATCCACTCCATCACGCCCTCCATCCCAGACCCTGCCCTCACCCTCTCCACCCTAGACACAGTCCTCAACCCTGCCACAGTGACTTCCCTTTTTAGTGCACTACTGCTGCAAGCCTACAACTAATACCCTTTTCCTTGACAAGTGGCTCGTTCAAGAAAAAAATATGTTCATAGATCTCTCTTCCATACATGGTGGACAGAGTCAAAGGGCGCGCAAAGTTTGACAAGACGAAGAGGCAATTGCAGGTAACCCTACCCGTGTTGGGCCCGTTGGGGCCATCGCCAAGCCTGCAGACCCCTCAAACGGCGGTTAATCAGGCAGATGAAAGCTTCGCAGGCTCAGACCGACACGCTCAAGATTGTCCTGAAGTTGATGACCTTTCAAGTGTCTGTGGTCCCCACCATCTGGATGAGGTATCCATGGCCAGCAACAGCATGACCGATGGAGGGGTGCGAAGTCAACTTGATAGTGCGGTCCATGGTACAGATTCTGACTTGGACCTGAATCCTGTGCAGACTGCACCAGGTCGAAGTCTTATTTCCCAGTCAACTGAATCTTTAGGACGGTCAAGTTCGACCAACGACCAAGCAGCCAATGTTTGCGACGAGCGAGAGGCACCTGTGACTTCTGTAATCTCACTGGCCCCACTCCCCGCTGACGGAAAGATTCACCATGATTCCTCTGTGGCTGAGCTAGTACCCTCTGCTTCGTCCAAAACTGCATTCGATTCGCCCAGTCTTCTTGGCAATGCTGAGTCAACTGTGTCCTTAGGACCATCAAGTTCGGCCAACGACCAAGCAGCCAATGTTTGCGATGAGAGAGAGGCACCTGCAGCTTCTGTAATCTCACTGTCCCGACTCCCCACTGACGAAAAGATTCACCACGATTCCTCGGTGGCTGAGCTACCCTCTGCTTCGGCCAAAACTGTGACAGATTTGTCGGGTCTTCTTGGCAATGCCCAGTCAACGGAGTCCTTAGGAACATCAAGTTCGAGTCCGGTCAATGAGCAAACCAACATTTGCGATCAAGAACAAGCGCTTGCGACTTGTGCAAATTCACTGACCCCTCTTCCAGATGATGCGAAGATTCGGCAGCATCCCTTGATGGTTGACCTATCCTTCGGTTCCTCCAACGATGCATTGGTGCCGAATTTGGCGATGACAACAGAGAGCAAGATCTCGCCTGTCATTCCGAATTCAATGCCTTCAAGTTCTTCAAGGGTGCCACAAGGTCAAGGTCAAGCCCCCATCCTTGCTGTCCAGTCCACTGGTATGGTCACCACTCCAGAAACGATGGCATTGTTCAATTATCCGGCGACAACAGGAACAACAAAGACGGGTTCTAGAGAGATGCCGACAACTACTTCGTCAGCAGCACCATCGACATCTGTGCCTCTGGCTATGGCTGAAGCATCCGCTCCACCAACACCACGTTTATCTCTGTCTTCCACTCCTTCCTTGATGCAACCTTCGATCGCGAGTTTGAAATCTACTGAAGCTCTCACAACAGGGGTAAAAGTTACTGCGGTAGAAAGTTTGCCACAGTCAACAGTTACTGTAGCAATGACAACAACTCGGAGTCCATCAGCAACAACCCCAGCAGCTGTGGTGCCAACATTGGCATCATCATCATCATCATCATCATCATCATCATCATCATCGTCCTCACCATTGCCGGCGTCGTCGTCATCATTAGCATCAGTATCTGCATCATCCGCAAGGGTGCCGGCAGAAGCAATCAAGACAATCCCAGCAAGAGCTCCAATGCCAGTACTAGCTGACAAATTGGCAGCTACTGTAGGTAAAATGGCGGGAACGGCTGGTGACATGGCGGGCAAGGGCAGTGACATGGCAGGAAGGGTAAAGACATCAACATCTTCAAACTTGAAGAAGAAGATAGGTTCTGCGTCTGCTAATGCATTCCGACCTGATCTTGTTAAGAAGTCAATCTACGATCTAGATTGACCATCACTGGGACTTCTGTGGACGTGTCTTGCTACAGTTACGGCTGCATTCGGGGCAAAATTCGTCTCCGTCTTCTTTTCCCTAGTACACGTTTTGGGTTCCTTTTTGCTCCAGAGTCCAGAGTCCAGAGTCCAGATTCATCCTTCTCCTTCCTTTTTTGGGTTTTCTTTATGCTTGAACGTTGCACCCGTTCACTCTTATTTGATTCAAGCAGCCACGTGCTCTCTCTCTCTCTCTCTCTCTCTCTCTCTCTCTCTCTCTCACACACACACACACACACACACACACACAC